ATAATTTATAATGGGAATTAACGGAGCCTTGTATTGGTCCAATACTGCCCCCTGCTGTACCTACTCAGTATACTGCACTACAGTTTAATAATATTTAAACTATAGTTCAGTGTTTACAATACTAATATGTTAGTATTTTGATGTTTTACTATAATATTGTCCTAATATTGCTTTATTGTTATAATATATCGCAGTTTAGTGTCAACAACTGCATTGGCGATGTAGCCTCTTTCTGCACACATACAAACCAACCCCTAGCAATCCTCTTTGCCACAGCTCCAATGGTCTCATGGTTAACTCTATGGGCTTTCATGTGGGAGATCAGGGTTCAAAACCCAGCTACAGCAACTTTAACAAAAAATCTCTTCAAACTTCATATCGTCACGCAATTACCCTCATTACAAACACCTGCTGACGTGACAGGGACAAGCTGGTATAGAAAACACAATTGAAATTGGTTACCGTTCATTCTGGAAGTCCACTGCTGCAGGTAAAGACATGCTACATGGCAATGCACACTTGTTTTTAAATCGTAAAAAACCCATGTCTAGTTTTATGTTGATTTTCGAGTATCATTTTTTCTTATACACCCTGTATTGCTATTGCTTTACCCAAGTTATATTTATATAAATGTATAAGTATGCCATATCATAACATGTCTCATATTTACAACAAAACAATCCGTTTGAAAATGTGTTGAAAATTGAGTCTGACTCGAACCATCTAGCCTTAATGATATCTGTGGTTGTGATGACACGCTGAAATGGGCGTGACCGAGGTTCTTAAAGAGACAGAGGCCAATTTCAAGGTGTTTAAAAATGACTTAACACCCCTCCAGCGGGCTATGGAAAGCCCAACGCGCCACTAAACGGGCACTTTACAACGCGTTAAACTTGAAAAATGGCAAATGGAAAGCCCAAAGCGCCACTAAACGGGCACTTTACAACGCGTCAAGTTTAACGCGTTGTAAAGTGCCCGTTTAGTGGCGCTTTGGGCTTTCCATAGAGCGGTACCACCCCCTAATTTAAAGCATCTTTTGAGTGTTTAGAAAAGCGCTAAGACTAATGCATTATTTATTTTTCAAACAAAAATTGGACACTTTCACTTCTTAATATCAACATTATGTAATTTATCTCATGAACACTTGATTTTGGGGTTCAAAGATCCGAAAAGAACCAAAGGAACCAAACAGCAAATTGACATAACAAAGCAGAAATTTCTAAAATTCAATCAATATTACAGATCTAGAGCTAAAAATTTGGCATGGTAGTATCTGAGAGTCATCCCTACCAATCTGCTCAATGTTTTAAAGGAAAATACTTTTAGAAAAACAGATAAAAGAGGGTTTCAGAAATAGTCGAGCGTAAACAGCGATGTTTATTTTAAAGAAATCTTTATAACATTGTTTGTTATTAAGACATTAAGACAGTAAATCAGAGAGTTCAGAATGTGTCAAACTGGCCAAAAGTTACAAAACAAACCGGTGCCTTAAATCACAAAACATTTAGTGTATTAAAGTGGTGCCGCAAATTTTAGATTTCAGTTTGAAAATGTGACAGTGGTTAATGAATTAGGAGGAAAGCTCATCCACCACCAGAAAAACAAATTATTCACACTTACTGTGTGACAAGTGTCCACCATCGGAGCAGACTGAATGATTTATTTCTAACTTTCAGTAAAACAATCTTGACAGTTCTGTTTCTCAGAGAAGAAAATTATTTTATTAGCTCACTGAAGTTGTAAAAAACAACAACAACCATTAAACATTCTTTTCATGTAAACAGGGAACCTTCTGCAACTTCTTCATGAAAACAAACATTTATCTAACATTCAGGAGAAAACAGACGTGTACGTGTGGCAGCTAGACATTGTTTTGTTTCTGGCACTGGTGAAATCTCTCTAACTCAGGTGCAAACAGTCCATATTTCATCAGGACAACTTTGTGTGACGACAGGAACAACCAAACAGGATGAGGAGTGAAAACAAGCTGAATCTTTACATTGTTGTTTTAGAGACATGGTCTTTAGGTGTGACCTAAAATCCATCTAACCACAAAACCAGGAGGGACTCTGATTTATCCCAACAGCTTTACGTTTAGAGATTTCATCTCAGAAACATGAGGTGCTGTTTGTAAAATTACACAGTCAAAAACTACCACCAATATTTTTTATTTAG